GCTGGATGTCTCTTGATGACCTATCCACCGAGGCAGTCCTGGTGCCTTGAGGGGCTCTGTCCCGATTGGACAATGTGTAGGGCAGCCTGGTGTTTATCCCAGCCCGGTAGTGGGAAACCAATGGAGCTTAGTCCACGCGGACTTTCTTTGTCCTCTTTGCTTGAGAATCAAAGCAGCAGAACTGCATGGAGTTCTTGGGGAAAGCAGTGCCTCCCTCCCTGTGGGATTTGGATGGGGTGAGGGGGCAGGGAAAGTGGTGTGACCTGTCTCACCTGTGCTGCTTGTTTGCAGAACAGCGGCAGGAGAGGGGCAGCAGGATGAATGTGGGCACGGCACACAGTGAGGTGAACCCCAACACGCGGGTGATGAACAGCCGCGGCATCTGGCTGTCCTACGTGCTGGCCATCGGGCTTCTCCATGTCGTGCTGCTCAGCATCCCCTTTGTGAGCGTCCCTGTTGTCTGGACCCTCACCAACCTCATCCATAATATGGTGAGGTCCCACCTGCTGCCCGTCCCTACCATGTGGGCTGCTCTTTGGTGGGGCGGAGGAGTAGGAGGAGCCCCCCAAACATGGGCCAGATGTCAGGGTGACACGCTGACATTTGTCACCCAAGCCCGGACCCAGCTCTCATCTCTGCTTTGTCCCACTTCTGGGTTCCAGCCACGTGCACTCTGATAAGAGGACTAAAATTTGCAGATTTGTCCACACCTTCAGGATGTGGACCTGGAGGGAGGCCCGCTGGGAACTGAACTAAGGGCTCCAGAGAGTCCCCAGGACCCAGACGCCCAGCCTGGCACAGAAATGCCCCTCTCCCAAGTCTGGATCCCCAGCCATCTTCCAGTCTGGTGCCTCTGCTCCCTCAGCTCCTGCCTGCTAGCTTGTACTCTTTGGTAGGCAAGCAGGGGCCGTCATCTCCTCCCCGCCCAGCTGGCACAGGGAAGCTACCACTGGGCCAGACGGGCATTTCTGCAGCTGAGTTCTCTCCATGCCTTATCCTCATGTCATGCTGTCCTCTCACCCGGTGGGCCCCCTTCTTCTCCTGCCAGGCTCCCAGCTGCCCCATCCTGACCTCCAGCCCACATCCCTCTGCCCCTCAGAGGGAGGCTCCACATAACCCAGAGCACAGTTCTTTGATTGGGGTGGTGGAGCTGAGCTGGAGGGCCTTTTGCCTTTTGTGTCCTCTAATGAAGTCCCCTTCCTCCAGGGCATGTACATCTTCCTGCACACGGTGAAGGGGACACCCTTCGAGACTCCGGACCAGGGCAAGGCGAGGTTGTTAACCCACTGGGAGCAGATGGACTATGGGGTCCAGTTCACAGCGTCTCGGAAATTCTTAACCATCACGCCCATCGTGCTGTGAGTGCCTTGGGTGGAGGAGGACACCAGCAGGCAGGCCAAGGCCTGGGGAACCCTGGGCCCTGCCAGGCTTAAACCTGTCCCCAGCTCTGGCTTTTGGCATGGGCATGAGCAGAGGCAGGGAAGTTGGAGCATCCCGGGCTCTTCTGCTGGGCTTAGGCCTTGTGCCTCCCTGGCCCTGTGTTTCACCAAATGGGCCTTCCTTCCTGCCAGTGATGTAAGCCCACAGACCTGGGATAAAGCAAGGGGACTGGGTCGGGAGGGACCTCTAGCTGAGGAGATCTTGCCACCCTACTTCTGTTCTGGGGGTCTTTCCCATAACTCCACACCTGTTGGGGATCTGCCACTCCCCACCCAGGAGTGAGGGAGGAAGGGTCCTCCAAACAGAGTCTTACGCTTCTTCCCAACCTTCCCACCCAGGTACTTCCTCACCAGCTTCTACACCAAGTACGACCAGATCCATTTCATCCTCAACACTGTGTCCTTGATGAGTGTGCTCATCCCCAAGCTGCCCCAGCTCCATGGAGTCCGGATTTTTGGAATCAATAAGTACTGAGGGTGCCACCCCTTCCCCTGCCTGGGATGGTAGGGGAGGGGTAGAGGCCTGTGCTGTGAAGCTGAAGACAGAAGGAGCCTCTGGATCCTGTTAGAGATGGGGGTCGAGCCTCTGGGCCCTAGTTTCCCCTTCCAATTTCCCTGGTAGCCGACTTGACGTAGCTTGTAGTGGGGTTCAGGTGGGCCCCCCAGGTCTCTGACCCTTTCTGATTTTTTTTGATCTTTTCCTTTTGCCTTTTGGATAGAGACTCCGTGGGGGCAGTCATGGGACGGGCTGGGCTCCCAACCTGTGAGGCTGGGACAGGAGAAACCCCCTGCTCACTTGCTCATCCTCAGACTGCTAAAGCACTTTAACCCCTGCAAGAGGAGCAGGGGGGACGGTACAGCTTCTAGATTGGTTCACTTTAATTCTTAAGTTTTTAGGATGACACTCAGTGTGTGCTCGTATGTGTAAAAGCAAGTGCACGACGATGCCTCATCTCTCTGGGTAGAGAACTGCCTGTTGCAAGTCTCATGCTTTTGGCAGCTCCCCTACAGCCCACCCGGGGCACTGGATGGGAGCGGGGAGGGTGAGGAGAGGGATGGTGGGGCTGGGTGTGGATGGCCTGGTCTCAGAGGTGAGGGGGCCATGGCCACTCTCATCTTGGGCCTGGTGGAGGTGGGGAGGATGGTTTGGGGGGCGGGGATGGGGACAGTGAATTGAGACTTGGAGGAAGGGGCCGTGTAGCCACAGAGATTGGTATAAGGGAGGAGTGTGGGGACAGAAGCCAGATTCAGCCTCATCCTTTGGGAAGTGGTCAGGCTCGGAGAGTTAATTTCCCCAGGCATGGTGGTGATAGTCGGAAGGGAGGCTGTGGGGTCGGAGGTGGGGGTTACAGCTCCGGGGTTAGTGTGAGGAGTGGAGAGGGGTGGAAGAGGCCCATGAGTCATCGTTAGCACGTTAGCACATGTCCGCTTTGACACTGCCCTGTGCAGGGGTGTGAGGGTGTGGGGAAACCGGGACAAATGATGAATGGTGGGGCCCTTCTGCAGCCTTCACCTCGTAGCCTCCTCATGCAGACTGGAGCTGGACGGGGCCTCTTGTGTGTACATGTGGGGCTATGGAGCCACCCCCAAATGGGGTGGGTGGGCCACAGAATGGTCCCTGCTCGAGCAGGGTAGTAGAAGGAGCCAGGAGTGACCTGCGGGCACTGTCTCCTCAGCCTGAGGGCGGGAGATGGGCAGGAGCCTGAGTGTGGGCTGGAGAGGAGCCGCCTTTTTCCCCTCCCCAATCTGACCAGGGTCTGTGTTACTTTTGAAAAGGTGTGGGTGCCCGTGACCCCTTCCAGGGCCCTGAGGGAGGAGGGGAGGACATTGGTCCTGTTTCCTGCCTCCTGGCCCCCCCACCCCCCACCCCATGTATCATAGGGAACTTTCACCTCGAAATCTTTCTAAGCAACGTGTGAATAGGATTTTTACTCCCTTTGTACAGTATTCTGAGAAACGCAAATAAAGGACAATGTGTTCCTGTTTCCCCTGAGTCTGGCCTCTGCTTCCTGGAGGGCCCTGGGGGAGGGGGCAGGGGTTTGGGCAGCAGTTCCTGCTGAGGGCAGTGTGAGGGGCTCTGGGGCTGCTGGTCTTCCTGCTGCTCCCAGGGGAGAGAGCGGGAGAGAGCCTGAGGGGCTGATGGGAACTGGCAGAGGCAGCAGCAGAATCCTGCTCTGTGACCTGGCCTGGCGGTTCATCTGTCAGAACTTCTACCTCTGGTCTCCGTGGGCTGGCTGAGTGATGGCTTGTGCGTGGCCTGGAAGGGGGTCAGTTGGGCAATGACTTCATAAATGAAGGCGGAGTCCCGAGGGGTGCCCAGCCCTTTCCTCAGAATGCCTTTCCCAGCTCTCACTTCTCTCCCCCTAGTGCTCTTTCCCTGGGAGTGCTGCATTTCCTCCTGGCCTCTCTGTCTTTGGAGGAATCTTCATGCTTCCTCCCTTCTGCCATGAGCATGAGTGGGAGAGGAAGAGGTAGCCCCCCAGGACTTATTTAGGCTCCTGGGGCCAGGAAAGGGGAGGAGTCCTTTAGTGGAGGAACTCTGATCTTTGAGGTTCTGGACCGCTCAGTGTGAGCCGTGGCAGTGTTACGTGCTATTCCTAGGACAGGTGCAAAGTCCCAGGTAGATGGGAGGAGCTGCCTCAGGCAGGCTGGGCTTCTCTCTGGCTCTGGGCCAGCGTGTGTTTTGGAGTGGGTGTTGGGAAGAGTGCAGGGTCTTTGCCCACGTCTGCTGAGTGAGGCCCACACAGTGCTGGGAGGAGCAGCACACCTCCCTGGGCCCAGTCCTGGGGGTGGGGGTGCCCTGGGAGCTTCCATGGACCTGCAGGAGTATAGTCAGGGTGAGGGGCTGGGGCACATCAACAACAACCAGCGTTCAAATCCTGCTCTGCCACTTACTAGACTTGTGGCCTTGCCAAGTTACTTCTCTGAGCTTCAGTTTCTTCCTCTGTTGTAGAAGGATAATAGGCATTAGGGCTGTTGTAGGATTAGCACAACACCTGGTATAGTAAATACTGAACACGTGATAGCCACATTAGTATCATTACTGTCGTTAACTACCACCATAATTTCTTTAAGGTTGTTTTGGAACTGAGGGATAAGGGGGCCAGGAGACGGGCCAGGCTCGCTCCGGTGGTTTATCTCTGAGGACTGAGGGGTGGGGGCCAGAGGCCTCTCTCTGGAGAAGGAGGTGGGTGGAGAGGACAGGTGGAGGCGTCTCCCTGAGAGGGCTATGTGGGAGCATGGTGGGGAGGAAGGCTGAGTCCTCCTTGCTGGCCAGCCTGTTCCCCACAGATGTTGGCTGTTGTAGCTCTCAGTCTTCAGCCTTGCCCACCGCAGCATGGCAGCATGGTAGCTGTTTCCAGCTCTATCGCTCTCTTCATACCCCTGACACGACCATAGCCGTTGCCTGCTGGCACTTGGATTGCATGGTCCAGTATGCCTCCTGCACCATTCTCTGGCCCCAAACCCACCTAGAATACATACCAGGTAAAGATTATCTATCTATCTATCTATCTATCTATCTATCTATCTATCTATCTATCT